GCGCCACACGTAGTCGGCTTCCGGCGGTGTGGAGAGGGCTGGATTCTGCTCGTACGTCGGCCGGTGGAACTTGCGGTCAAACGCCGATGACACAATCAGAGAAATTATCCCACTGAATAAGATCCCCATACCCTGCATGGCAAAAACCGCAGCGATAAAAGCACCACGAGTTTTCTTATTGGCGTATTCTGCCATGATGGTGGCGGAGAGAGGGTAGTCGCCACCAATGCCGAAACCAAGCCAAAATCGGAAGAAACATAGACTTGCCATTACACCCTTTGGAGTATGGCCGAAGGAAAAGCCGGATGCGATCGAACATACGATCATAATGAGGAGAGTTAGTCCGTAGACTTTTTTCCGTCCCATTTTGTCACCGAGCCACCCGAAGAAGAGTTGTCCGATGAGGGTTCCGACGAGTGCGACACCGGTGACGGAGGAGGAAACACTCGGGGGAAGAACTCCGGGCTTTGGTGCACCGGCCTTGGTGTAATAGAGGCGTCCTAACAGCTTAGCGACCAGTGAGATACTAAAGAGATCGTACGCGTCGGTAAAGAAGCCCATTCCGGCGATGACAATGGTGGTGAAATGGTAAAGTTGGGTTTTAGCGACATCAAGTGCGTTTAGCACTTGCAATTGATCCCGTGCCATCGATCTCTAGTTGATTCTTGATCCTCTCTCTGTAATAATCGTTAAAAACATATATCACTGACTAAAATACCCTTAATTTGCAACTAAATGTGACTGTTGACAAGAGAGTACTTAACGTTTGAGAGAGTTGGAGAACTAATATATTACATAAACGTAAATTGAGAATATCGTATTTAATCAATCATTGTAAATCAATGGATCACGCATACACTGGGTGTGTGTTATTATGTGTAGATCAATGGTGTAAAACTGCAGGGTGTATCTCACCAGGTGTAGATTCTACAAAACCGCGCATCTACTTAAACAACACTTGAAATAGAAAATTAATTAACTAAACTGCAATTTAGAAGAACAAAAAAACAAAAAGAAAAAAAATCATAAAACTTAATGAATTCTTGAGATTGAGAAACTGTGGTACCTTCAAATTCAAGTAGTAGTCAACAATGAAATTAAAACTTGAGATTAAGCTGAGATGGGATAAAGAAGAAAGTGAATAATGGCAGAATATATATAAGGTTAATCACCAGCTGCACAACTGGCATTAATCCATATGATGATAATTAAACCCTAGCTAAGATAATATATATCCGGCATAATGGTATATACCTAAAAATGTCAACTAATTAATTAATCATGAAATTCTGTCTCAGACATACCAAATTGACATTTGTTTAAGAAATGTAAACGATGTATCTCTCTCATTACCTAGCTGGAAGTTATGAGTTTTTAGCACCAACCACCCCTGTGTAATCTCTAATTGCCAAAAATGCCCGCTTGTTAAAAGAATTAACAATAACAACCCTACTTTGTGTTTTTTAAGGCACATTGCCCCTTACTTCAAAATTATCTGTTGACTTTCTTGAAATGACAAAACTATGTGAATAAATATTAAAATACAATTCAATTTTATTTTAATTAAAAAGGATGTGGGAAAGCTCTACACCAAACATAATTTCGTCGGAGAAAATATTGGAGTGGTTGGCGGAACGTGGGTATGGTTGAACTGGAGGCCGAGGGTATGGAGGCCAGAGAGGTTGTTTGCCGGAAGGAGAGCTGCGGCTCAGTTATGTTCAGTGTATTTCTGGAAAATTGCAAATTAGTCCATGACTTAAGGAAGAAGAGGGCCTTTCTAAAATGAAAGGGACTGATTAAAAATGTTGAAAACCTCATATTGGGTCTTATTTATTAAATTTCTAATTTAAAGGGTATTCCATTGTTTTTAAATCAACCCCCCAGACGCATTTGTGGCGAGTGTATCGCACGACCAACTCACAGGGACCTTGTTGGCTTTAACTAACTTTTATAGGGGGGTCTTTACTAATTTTTTTAACAAAGGAACTTTTGTGACAATAAGAGATTACGCGGGGTGGTTAGTGCTAAATGCTCTCTCTCTCTCTCTCTCTCTCTATATATATATATATATATATATATATATATACTCCTCAACACTTGGTTATGCTACGTATATACGTTGGTCGTGCCAGCAGAGATCTTTCATTGTCTGATGTGCTTGTTTGTTGTCTATGCTGACGTCAGCAGTTGATCAGTAATAGCTGATGGCAATATGTATCAAATCCAAGATATATATATATATATATATATATATATATATATATATATATATATATATATATTAGATAATATATATATGTACAACTCCCGTGTTTTGTCCTCCTTCATTTCTTATGGGCTTTTTTTTGCACTTCTATTCCCAAAACGACGTAGTTTTGATATAGAGCTAATTGTACAGAACACCTGTGTAATTTTGAATGGCCGAAAAAGCCCTTGTATTTTAAAAATTAGCAAGAACCCCTCTGTATTAATTTTTTTACGAAGTACACTGCCCCTTATTTTATTTTTTGCGGATGACTTGGATGAAATGGCAAAATTACCCTTACGTAAAATAAAGCAAAATACTCAATCAAATTTAAAAACTAAAAACAAAATCCCAACAAAAAAGAAAAAGGAGAGAGAAGGTACTGTTACTTCATCTTTCCCGTGAAACCAACACACCACCCCCACCCCCAACCCCAATGTAAAACCAACAACTCTCTGTCGAAGATATTACAGTCTACAGAGTTCAAGATCAATGAAAAAAAGTAACTTGTGGTTGAAAAAAATAATTGGATTAATTTGGAGAAGATGACTTTTCTGAAAGTGTCAAGGGCTGAATTGAAACTACATTTTGGGGCTGAATTGAAACTACATTTTGGGGCTGAATATTTTTTGTGGTCAATCTGTAATTTCTGAAATTTATATTTGAGAGGATATTTTGGCCTTTCCAGGATAAAAAAATACACACCCATCGCAAAATCCGCGCATGTGGCACACGATAAGCTATCAAGGTCCTTATTGCATTTTTACTAATTCTTATAGAAAGTTTTTTCTTTAATTATTGTAACACGATGGTTTTTTTTAATTATTGCATAATTTAAATAAACTCATCATCTTCTTCACAGGAACATGAGTGTGAATGTGGGTATGTTATCTAAAGAAAAAGGTAAATGGATCAAGTGTGCTATCTAAAAATAAATTTAGGGGGGGTATTTGCTAATTTATATATGGCAGGGGAGAATCGCGCATTTGCGATTTCCACAGGGGTAGTAAATGCAGTTTACTCTTAAATATATATCAATGAGTTCAATCATTTAATATGAAGATTTCGAAAACCAGGCAATATGGTTTTTTCAAAGATTACTGAATACTTTACCAGTGAAAGATTATTGCAAGTCTTGATTAAAATACATAGATTCGAATTTACTAGGCAGGTGCACGTGCGTTGCACGTGTCTAGTAGTTATTTTTTATATTGAATTTGATATATTTATTCTAATACAAATGTAAATTATATAAATATCTTAAGGAAATAGTATAAATTCAAGAGGAGATTTAAATTTAAAGATTCCAATTGCCCTATAAAATAACTTTTATATGTAAGATTTCTTGGAGAAAAAGACCATTTGACTAATATAATTTGGTAATAGTAATAACTAATAATGACTCCTTTTTATAATAATAATAATAATAATAATAATAATAATAATAATAATAATAATAATAATAATAATAATAATAATAATAATAATAATAATAATAATAATAATAATAATAATAATAATAATAATAATAAGAGTAATAAGAATAATAATAATAATAATAATAATAGTAATAATAATAGTCATTATCTCAATTGTTGTAATAAAAGTTGTACTTGTCACTGTTATAAGACCAATTATTGTAGTTGTATTAGCAATCCTCTCAATAAAAATACTAATAACAGTAATAATAACAACTATAATCTTGCTAAGAATAATTAGACGAATAATTGTAATAAC